AACAAGTAAACAAGCATGGCCGAACTTTTTATACACTCCACCAAACGGAAGGAACCTGAAAAATTAAAAAAAAACCTTCGAAAAATACCTCTGAAATGAACGCCTTTATGCGTGGGCTATATGAAGACGTGGTCGCTGCATAAATAATTTTTGTCATAGGCAGTAGAAACGATTTCGTTTTTCAATTACGAAATTTAAGACAATTACGGTGAATAATGTGGCTAATATCATCAATATACCGAATAAAGGGAGGTACTGTTGTATAGCTCCCCTACAAAGACTTTTGTCATCGTAGGTTGTAGTATCCATTACGAACTTCAAATACGAAATTTGAAACAATTCCGGTGAATAATGTCGCTTAAATCATAGCGAATATCTTGTGGTACCGTTATATGGGTGCTATACTAAAACGTGGGCCTATATAGAGAATTCTCTTCCAGGGGATAAATCACTGAAAGTTTACTCTTTGTGTGAATTTTCAGACAATTCCATTCAAAAATTTGGCTACAATTTTCAAAATAGAAAATATCGGGGTTACCGTTATTGGGGGCCATACGATACCGTGGACTGATACAGCCCATCTGCGAACTTGACCCGCCTGCAGAGAAAAGACAGATCGGTGCAAAATTTTAGCTTCCTATCTTAATTCGTTTTGACTGTAGCGTGATTACAAGAGACGGACGGGAGGAGAGGTCTAAATGGTCTTAGAATATTACGCTGATCAGGAATATTAAATTTTTTTGGGTCTAAAATTATTATTTCGATAAGTTACAAACGGAATTACGAACTTAATATACCTTCCATAGTAAGAGGGTAAAAAATTAAAAATAATGTATGTAGCCGTCATTCGGCCGGGCTTGAGAATTTCTTCGCTGGGTTATGTCCAACAGCAACATCATTTAAGCCTTGTTTTCTTCTGTGAACGGTCATACTTCCCATGGGCATTATGTCTGTTTTGTTTTCCACTTCGTCTCAAAGTAATCCAAATTTGAATAAAATCTAACATTTACTTCTAATTTTATGCAATCAGGAGTTAACGGTATATTAAATACACCAAGAATCTCAAATTACGAAAAATATTATTTTTGAAAATTGTGACCCCTATGTGGGGGAGGTACCAAAAAGGGGAGGGCCAATTTGTATCCTTCATTAGTAAATGAACCACACCAGACCTTGTGTTTATAAAAATATGGAGATGTATGAAATTTGATGAGAATCGGATGCATATTTCGCATTTTATTTAAAATTTTGACCGGTTATGGGAGGAGAGTTCCATAAAAAGCTGACCAATATATCCCATCTGCACACCAGATCATCTTTTAGCAGCAATATTAAGAAATGTGAATTTTTTAGGAGAATTGGATGCTCAATTCGCATTTTATGATAATTTTGGTTGTTTAAAATTTTGATCTATTGTGGGGGAAGAACTTGATGTAGTGGGCTGATGTTGTCCATTTTCCCTCCTGACCTAGCACCAACTAAAATGTTGGGATTTGCAAAGTTCGCCCAATATCTAAGAATCCCTTCTCTTTCTATAGGGTAATTTATTTTCTTTTAAAATGTTGATCTAATGTGGGTGAGGTACCAGAAGGAGTGGACCGATGTTACCCATCACCGAACTCGATCTTAGTTTGACAATAATATTACCATGTACTACGATGTTTTACGATATCGTGAGCACCAGTCAGACAGAAAGAAAGACAGATCGACTCAAAATGTCTTGAAACGAATTTAGTCCAAAGAGACCTAGGGTTTAAAACCGTTATTTCATCCACAGATTTAAAGAGTTTAAGATTAATATTTTGGGATCCCTTTATAGATCCTTTTAACGATACCGCCCGACAATTGATATTTTGAAGGTCTTGTATTGGAAATAAATTGCAAAAGAAAATCTAGGCCAGATATTGACAATTGGTAATTTAAAATATTTTTAAGTTATGTTGAATTATTTATTTATTTATTTATTTATTATACCCTTCACCATAGTATGGAAAGTATATTAAGTTTGTCATTCCATTTGTAACACCTCGAAATACACATTTTAGACCCCACAAAGTATATATATTCTTGATCAGCATAAAATTCTATGTCGATTTAGCGATGTCCGTCCGTCTGTCCGTCTGTGAAAATCACTTTAGCTTCCGCACGAATTGAAGTAGATTGATAAATTTTTGCTCAAATGTATGTTATGCCTGCAGGACTTTTGGTATTAAAAATGGGCCAAGTAGGACCACATTTTGGTATAGCCCGCATATAACTGTACCTCTCGATATTCGGTATTTTGATGATTTTAGCGACATTATTTACCGGAACTATTTCAAATTTGGTATTTGAAGTTCGTAGTGGATGCTACAGCCTACGACAGAAAACTGTCTGTGCAGGTCCACGTCTTCGTATAGCCCCTTATAACTGTACCTCCCGATATTCGGTATTTTGATGATTAAAGCTAATTTCTTCAGCGGAATTGTTTCAAATTTGGTATTTGAAGTTCATAATGGATACCACAGCCTAAGGCAGAAAATTGTCTGTGCAGTTCCACGTCTTCGTATAGCCCCCATATAATGGTACCTCCCGATATTCGGTATTTTGATGATTTTAGCGAATTTATTCACCGGAATTGTTTCAAATTTTGTATTTAAAGTTCGTAATGGATACTACTTCCTATGACAGAAAATTGTCTGTGCAGGTTCATCTCTTCGTAAAGCCCCCATATAACGGTACCTCCAGATATTCCGTATTTTAATGATTTTAGGGACATTTTTCGCCAGAATCGTTTCAAATTTGATATTTGAAGTTCGTAATGGATACTACAGCCTACGACAGAAAATTGTACGTCTTCGTATAGCCCCCATATAACGGCACCTCCCGATATTCGACATTAAAACCGATTTTTTTTTTTAAGTTTCGCATTTGAATATTGTAATGGCTTATGACAAATGTTACCTACGCAGGTTCATGTCGTCGTATAGATCCTAATATAATAGATTTTATTGCTTTTGAGAATTGCCAAATTCGATCCAAATGGTGGAGGGTATTCAAAGTTCGGCCTGGCCGAACTTACAGCTTTTATACTTATTTTTTCTTTATATTGTGAAGAGGATAGAAAGCTTGCCCCGGCAAAAAATTGTTGAGCTTTTTAGTTGTTTTCGAAAAAGTCGTTGTTTTTGAAATTGAAATGCTCCCAAACTTCCGTGAAATTTTACTGTGTTAGTCTTTAATAAAATTTAGATAAATATGTGAAAGAATTCTGATGTCAGCAGAACTTCAAAAAATAATTAATTAATTAATAAGGTTTGAAATGTTTCCCAAGATTTTAAAGCTTACTGCGCTAAAAAAATTTTCTCGCTGTTTTATTACAATAAATAACCATATCTGTAGCATAGTGTTAATTATTCAAAAAATAAATAAATAAAAATACTATTTAAAACAAAACATCTTTAAAAAGCGGTTGAATGGCTTATGTTTAATGGATTTTTCCATATTACATAAAAATACTGGTTTTTTGTTTTTATTATATTTTTTTTTGTTTTATACAATTATTCTTTTTTAACTATTCCTTCAATTGTATAATAGATAAATTGCACTTGTTCGAACAAGTTGAGTTGTTTAAATTGTTGTTATTGTTTTTTTTTTCTTTATTTTGTTTTGTTAATTTAATATTAAATAATAATTATGTCCAATTAAATATGACTTAATCATAGCTTATCGGTTATTCACTTTAAGTGATATTTTAGATGCATTCATTGCCAATTAACCTTAAATATTTAAATACTTTTTCATAAATACTTTATTCATTATTTAATTACTAATCTTATTAATTTAATGCATAGAGTCATTCATTTATAATTTTTGTGTAATTAATAAATAAACAATTTAAATTTGTAATTTACATATTTACATTTTGATGTGAAATTAATGACTATAGATTAGTTCACACATGTGTATGTATGTACTCACACACATACATATAAATAATGTTAGTTGGAAAAAAAGTTTCAAACCACTTTTGTTGCTCCACAAAAATGTTTTGGCAAACAACAAACAAAAATCCGTAGTTGACAAAAAATAAAAAAAAAACTTAAGGCCACTAATTTACCACTAATCTTAATTGAAAATATGTTAAAACTTTTGAGTTATTTTGAAACGATGGTAATGGAGTTTGGGTTTTGAAAAAAAAAAAAAAAAAAATTATACACATATATTAGAGGAGTATTAGATTATGTACAAATACACATACATATGTATATACACCAAATTATGGGATCATATTCAGTTCATATGAATTACATATCTGGGTATTTCTGATGTCTGGGACTAAACTATGATTTTATTGTCATAGCTTGATACAGTTTTTCTGGAAAATTGAAAATGATTGCAAATTTTTTCAAGAGTTGACCTTTTTTTGTAGTTAAGCCAAATATCAATCAGTAAAGGCTATAGCTGGCAGATAAAACAAGTAAATTCAATTGAAAAGCAGTAAGTTCGGCCGGGCCGAACTTTGAATACCCTCAACCATTTGGAACGAATTAGAAATTTTTTTAAAAAAATAAAATCCATTAAATTTTATTTTAAATCTTTACAATCAGGCATGTCACAGAATGTAAAATCGTTCAAGAGTGAAAACGAAAACGGTTTTAGCTTCTCTAAAAAACGGAAAACGCAAATATTTTGCGTTTTGATATCACTTTCAAAAAGCAGGGTGAAATTGAAATGTTTAGTGATATTAACGTAAAAAATTAACAGAAGACACATACATTTAACAGAAAATATTGTATGAACCAAATTCTCTTAGAATGAACATGTTTTTGGAATTTATTTTACAAAAAATCTATTATTTTTCTAATGCATGAATTCGGAAGGTTTAACCATTCTAACGTGAGTTCCGTCAATGCATCCTACAATTCCTGGAATTTCATAATTTTCAAAAAAGTACAATTTCGACTTTCTTTTTTCTTCGGAAGACATTCTTAATTTGATCCAATGTGGACAAATTTCAGCTTCAATTGCATTAATAACTCTCCACATAATTGTAGAAACTGTACTTCTCCCAAGGCTTAGCTCCACATCTCTACCTATAACTCCTTGAAATGCACCCGTAGCCAAAAACCTAAGCGTTGTTGCAAGCTGGATAATAGCCGGTATATTGGAACGTTTGAGGTGGGGAGAAATTTTTTCCAAAACTAAAACAAAAGCTTCTTTATTTAGCCGATAATAAGTTATAAATCTGTAGAAATAAATTATTATTAAAATAAATTTGAAAATAACTCATTGCTGGTGGATCCTTACTCTGCATTTGAGTGAGATAAAGGATCTGATGCGTTCCTCAATGTCCTGCGACAAATTTTTTCAGTAGACCGCTGATTTATTTCTTCATCCATTACAGCAAGTATTGAAGCCCCTGGCATTTTTACTTTTGGTGTTTATATTATAAAAAACAATTTAAACTCCTTTTTTAATTGTCAATAATTTGTTTACGACTTTTTTTTCATGGAGTTACCATATTTTTATTTCAAAAATGTGAAATGATTTTTTTTCCGGATTAATCAAAACGTACGAGTGCTGAAGAAGCAAAAGCAAATCGTAACGATTTGGAAAGGGTGAAATAAATCGATTTCGTAAAACTTCTGTGACATGCCTGAATATCTAATATAGGAAGGTGCCGATATATGGGGGATATACGATATTGTGGACCTATAAAGGCAAATATATGTCTGCGTGTAAAGTACTCACAAGGAACTCCTTGTGTAGATTTTCAGATAATTCCATTGGAAAAAGTGGCTAAAATCATCAAAATATCGAATATAGGGGTGTACCGTTATATGGGGGATATACGATATTGTCGACCTATATAGACAATTCCGTTTCAGGGGTAAAGTGCTCACAAAGAACTCCATTTGTGGATTTTCAAACAATACGTTTGTAAAATGTTATATGGGAGCTATACGTTATCGTTAACCTATATTGAGAATTCTCTGTCGGGGAGTAAAATGCTCACAAAGAACCCTTTGTGAAAAAAGAACCCCTTGTGACTATTCCGTTAAAAAATATGGCAAAAAACATCAAAATACCGAATATCGGGGGGTACCGTTTAATGGGGGATATACGATATCGTGGACCTGTATAGACAGTTCTCTCTCAGGGGGCGAAGTACTCACAAGGAGCTACTTGTTTGGATTTTAAGACAATTCCATTGGAAAAAGTGGCTAACATCATCAAAATACCGAATATCGGGGGGTACAGTTCTATGGGGGATATACGATATAGGTCCACGATATAGACAATTCTTTTTGAGGAGGTAAAATGCCCACAAGGGACTCCTTTTGTGGAATTTCAGACAATTCCATTGAAAAATGTGGCTAAAATCGTCAAAATGCCGAATACTGGGGGTACCGTTATATGGAGGCTATACGATATTGTTGACCTATATAGATAATTCTCTGCCGAGGTATAAAGTACCCACAAGGAACTTCTTTTGTGAATTTTCAGACAATTCCATTGAAAAATGTGGATAAAATCATCAAAATACCGAATATTGGGGGTACCGTTACATGGGGGATGTACGATATCATGGACCGATATAGTCCATTTTCGAACTTGACCTGCCTGCAGACAAAAGAGAGATCTGTGCAAAATTTTAGCTTCCTATCTTAATTCGTTTAGACTGTAGCGTGATTACAACAGACGGACGGACAGACGGACGGAGAGGGCTAAATCGTCACAGAATTTTACGCTAATGAGAATTTGTCGATGGATTACAAACGGAATGACGAACTTAATATACCCTCCATACTTTTTTGTGGAGGGTATAAAAAATAAAATCCATTGAAAATTCTGTTAAAATCTTTAAAATACCTGATATCGGAAGGTGCCGATATATGAGGGGATATACGATATTGTGGACCTATATAGACAAATCTATGTCTGGGGGTAAAGTACTCACAAGGAACTCCTTGTGTGGATTTTCAGATAATTTCATTGGGAAATGTGGCCGTTATACGATATCGTGGACCGATATAGCCCATCTTCGAACTTGACCTGCCTGCAGACAGAAGAGAGATCTGTGCAAATTTTTAGCTTCCTATCTTAATTCGTGTAGACTGTAGCGTAATTACAACAGACGGACGGACAGGGCTAAATCGTCACAGAATTTTACGCTAATGAGAATTTGTCTATGGATTACAAACGGAATGACGAACTTAATATACCCTCTATACTATATATGGTGGAGGGTATAAAAAGAACAAGTTAAAACGTATCAGTTGGTTTTGCCGGCAGATATATTACCTCAGCCAATGTTCGATTATTTAAAAATGTTTTGACTTCTGTTTTGAATGGACCAATATTTTCCATATCGTATCGGACCAAAATAAATATGATAAAAATATTGCGATGCGCCAGGTTTGGACTATATTGGGTACTTCCTTCACTTTATGTGAGATATGTGAAAATTCTTAGAAAATGTTCAAATGTGCGTGAGATACCGATATATTCAACCGAAGTAATCAATTTTCATACTTCATCTAATGCAAATAAAAATAATGGTATTTCCAAAATTATAAGAAAATTGAACATTTATATCCAATTCTATGCTAAATCTTAAATCTCTCATGTTTCTGGCTGAGAGAAATATTTAGATATAGCAAGTTGTAAAGAATCGCAGACTTGTTTCCCAAGTTATGACAGATAAAAGAACAAGAACAATTTGTATTGTGTCTAGGATGGTTTGTATTGAAAATGAGATATATCTGTCTACGTTTTGGTATAGTCCCCATATAAAGGTACCTCCCGATATTCGGTATTTTCATGATTTTTGCAACATATTTTCACGGATTTGTTTGAAATTTGGTATTTATAGGTCATAATAGGTTCTAGCTCCGGTGGCGAAAAATTGCATGTATATGTCCACAATTTGGGTTCTGGACGTGGTGGCGAAATATTGTATGTATAGGTCCACGTTTTGGTATAGCTCCCATATAATGGTACCTTCAGATATTCGGTATTTTGATGATTTTTTCGTACATTTCTTCGCGGATTTGTTCAAAAATTGGTATTTGTGTGTTCTAATGGGTTCTTGCTCCGTTGGCGAAACATTGTATGTATAGGTTCACGATTTTGTATCCCATATAGCGGTACCTACTGATATTCTATAATTTGACTTTTTCCTATAAATGTGTCTATAAATTGGTATTTGTTGGTCATAATGGGTTGTAATTTTTCCTTTTCCCTAAGGTGAAAGTTATTAAAAGTTCGGCCGAACTTAATGTATTTTTTTTATTCTTGAACCCGATGTGGGGGAGGTACCAGAAGGTGTGTACCGATAAATTCCATCTTCACTTCAGACCGTGGGTTAGTAAAAATATTGTGATGTGAGTAATTTGAAGACAATCGGACTCTTACATCACATTTGTGGGGGAGGTACCAGAAGGAATGGTCCGATATCTGTCATCTTTTTAACAGATCTATCGTTGACAGAATTATTGAGGCATGCCAAATCTGAATGGAATCGGATGTCAATATCGCGTTATATTAGCTTCATGCATATCCAAAATTGTGAGCCTTTGTGAGAGAGGTACTTTATGGACTAGGCCGATATTATCCATTTTCGTAACTGACCAGCACTGATGCAAATGTTAGGTTTGGCCAAGTTGTAGCAACATTTGTTTATCCTTTATCTTTCTGTGCAGTAAAATATTTCTTTGAAAATCTTGACCTTGAGTGGGACGATATTGCCCATCTCCGAACTCGATCTAAGTTTGATAATAATATTAAGATGTTCCAAGTTTGGACCAAATCGGATACGTCCTTCATGTGCACCAACCAGACGGATGAACGGACATCGCCAGGTCGACTTCAAATGTCCTGAAACAGATTTGGTCCCAAGATACCTAGGGTCTAAAACCGTTATTTGGAAGAGGCACGTTTTAGCCGTATCAAATGATATAAAACAAGTAAAAAAGCAGTAAGTTCGGCCGGGCCGAACTTTGAATACCCTCCACCACTTGGAACGAATTAGAAAATTTTCAAAAAAATTAAATCCGAGTTTGGCTTGCTTGTTTGGGATACCATAGTATTTTGTTGTTGCAAAATCGTCAGGCGAAATCCCATTATTGTTGTTTTTATAAAAACAACGTTTGTTTATGAGTGGAGAACGATGGTAATGTTTACCAGGGGGTAAGGCAGGGAATACCTAGGTTTCGGAAAGAGCCACCAATCCTCATCAGTTCCCTTGTTTCTTGTCTGGGATATTCTCCCCAGAAGTTATTTAAAAAAATAACTTCTATGACAAAAAACATTTTTTACCCAAGTGACGAGATCGTAAGCTCAATAGAAGAGGAACAAAAGAATTACAGAAAACTAAAATTCTTTTGGAAAATCTTCTAAATCTTACAACCGCACTTATAAACATTTACATCTTTCTCCACTTTGTTATGCTTTCGTTCAACCTGAACGAAGTAACATAACCATGTAAGTTTGTTTTGTCTGTTACAACAAAAACCCCTTCGTCGACCGTGCCTGTGTCTATTAATAGAACAGAGTTTGGCTTGCTTGTTTGGGATACCATAGTATTTTGTTGTTGCAAAATCGTCAGGCGAAATCCCATTATTGTTGTTTTTATAAAAACAACGTTTGTTTATGAGTGGAGAACGATGGTAATGTTTACCAGGGGGTAAGGTAGGGGTTTTTGTTGTAACAGACAAAACAAACTTACATGGTTATGTTACTTCGTTCAGGTTGAACGAAAGCATAACAAAGTGGAGAAAGATGTAAATGTTTATAAGTGCGGTTGTAAGATTTAGAAGATTTTCCAAAAGAATTTTAGTTTTCTGTAATTCTTTTGTTCCTCTTCTATTGAGCTTACGATCTCGTCACTTGGGTAAAAAATGTTTTTTGTCATAGAAGTTATTTTTTTAAATAACTTCTGGGGAGAATATCCCAGACAAGAAACAAGGGAACTGATGAGGATTGGTGGCTCTTTCCGAAACCTAGGTATTCCCTGCCTTACCCCCTGGTAAACATTACCATCGTTCTCCACTCATAAACAAACGTTGTTTTTATAAAAACAACAATAATGGGATTTCGCCTGACGATTTTGCAACAACAAAATACTATGGTATCCCAAACAAGCAAGCCAAACTCTGTTCTATTAATAGACACAGGCACGGTCGACGATGGGGTTTTTGTTGTAACAGACAAAACAAACTTACATGGTTATGTTACTTCGTTCAGGTTGAACGAAAGCATAACAAAGTGGAGAAAGATGTAAATGTTTATAAGTGCGGTTGTAAGATTTAGAAGATTTTCCAAAAGAATTTTAGTTTTCTGTAATTCTTTTGTTCCTCTTCTATTGAGCTTACGATCTCGTCACTTGGGTAAAAAATGTTTTTTGTCATAGAAGTTATTTTTTTAAATAACTTCTGGGGAGAATATCCCAGACAAGAAACAAGGGAACTGATGAGGATTGGTGGCTCTTTCCGAAACCTAGGTATTCCCTGCCTTACCCCCTGGTAAACATTACCATCGTTCTCCACTCATAAACAAACGTTGTTTTTATAAAAACAACAATAATGGGATTTCGCCTGACGATTTTGCAACAACAAAAATTAAATCCAATAAAAATTCTTTTAAAATCTTTAAAATATCTAATATAGGAAGGTGCCGATATATGGGGGGATATACGATATTGTGGACCTATAAAGACAAATCTATGTCTGCGTGTAAAGTACTCACAAAGAACTCCTTGTGTGGATTTTCAGATAATTCCATTGGAAAAAGTGGCTAAAATCATCAAAATACCGAATATAGGGGAGTACCGTTATATGGGGGCTATACCATATTGTGGACCTATACAGATAATTCTCTGTCGAGGTATAAAGTATCCACAAGGAACTCCTTGTGTGGATTTTTAGACAATTCCGTTGAAAAATGTGGGTAAAATCATCAAAATACCGAATATGGGGGGTACCGTTATATGGGGGCTATACGATATCGTGGACCGATATAGCCCATCTTCGAACTTGACCTGCCTGCAGACAAAAGAGAGATCTGTGCAAAGTTTTAGCTTCCTATCTTAATTCGTTTAGACTGTAGCGTGATTACAACAGACGGACAGACGGACAGACGGACGGACAGGGCTAAATCGTCTTAGAATTTTACGCTGATCAAGAATATATATACTTTGTTGGGTCTAAAATGATTATTTCGATGAGTTACAAACGGAATGACGAACTTAATATACCCTCCATACCTTTTTTGGTGGAGGGTATAAAAACAAAACCTCATATTGAGCGAAGGGAGTACCCAATATGCTTCAATTATGACACATCGCAAAATTTAGATAATATTTAGATCTGGTTTGTAAATGAGCATTATCGGTACACTTACTCCCGTACCTCCCTCGAAAAAAACGGTATGAGCTACAATTCTAAAATTTGGATGGAGAGTCATTGATGGAGTGTAGGATAGATGTACCAAAGAGTTTTTGGATATTTGTACTTTAGTTACCTTAAAGTTCTAAAATAGTTCCATTTATTATTATGGTATGAGAGTCAAGGTTGAAAAATAAGTTTGATACATAAAGGTCGTTTTGGAAATGTGTACTACGTGTGCGAACTGTATTAAATGCTACTACATTTAAGACAGTTTCGTGTTGCGGTGCACGAATGAAGATGGGAGTTTGAAATTGTACGAATAGCACTAAATATTACAAAATTATGTATTGGATGAAGGAATAAAGCTGAAATCCTAAAATTTGATATTGAGGACTCTGTTGGTATCTGAAATTGAGATATGGAGGTGTTGGATAATTGTATCGATATTGATGTCTCTGTTGGCATCTAGGATTTAGTGGACAATTTTCAAAATGAAAGATTTTGCAATTTTTTGGGTAAAAGGTAAACATTTTTCTTCATTCCTTTCGAAAAGGTAAACAACTAAATACTATATAAACCTTGAAAATTGGAAAATTTAGTACGATTTTTGAGGTTTTGGTTAAAAAATTTGACAAACTAAACAAATCGTGCATTTTGAGTACAAAAAAGCCTAACACGAACTTTTGGAACGAATCTAAAATTTTATTGTGAACTTTTCGCTGACGAAGTGACGGGCCCTTGCTAGAATAGAATGAGTGAGTAACTGTCTGATTCATCAACATCCAGGTGAAAGCTAGAGTCGTAAAATTTTGCAGTTATGTCAATGTTGGTGTGTAGGGGTGAGTACTATTGGGGTAGAACGATTGCGAAGTTTAAGACTTGTTTGTGTCTAGGTTTCGTTGCAATAAACGAAATCGTGCACGACAAATATTTTCGTACTTAATGGGCACGAAAGTTAGAAACAGGATACTAAATTTTGTACTATTGGCCTGGGAAGGACAGATGTCTGTTTTTGGTTTTTAGGGTTGTACAACAAGTAAGAATGCGTTAAATTCGATCGGATCGAACTTTTAATACCTAAAATAAAATCTCTAAAAATAAAAGTAAAGGGTCCATTTACATTCTAGCCAGCGATTTCGGCTGGTTAAACGTCTTGAGTAGTTGTTATCTCTTGAGAGTTTTAAATATGAAATTTGAAAAGAAGTAAAAAAAAAAACAAACAACGGTCTGGCTGAACATTTAATACCCTTCACTATTTGACCGTAATCGAATATTTTTCGCAGGAAAGCAACAGACATACCAAGAATCCCAAATGGCGAGTTTCGTATATTTGGTTGGAAATTGTGGCAGAAACCTTCAAAATACCGAAAATCTGAAAGTATCGTTATATGGGAGCTATACCTAAACGTGGACTCATTTGCAATGTATCCTTCAAATCATAACCGAAAAATATTTAGATCTGGAGTGGTGTGAATTATTCAGGACAACAATCTCCTTTTGACAACAGCACTTGCATACTTTCAGCGGAAGTTGCGAACCTAGATTGCGGGAGGTAGGATTGAAGACCAAAAAAAGCAGAGGATTTTCTCGAATTCTACATTTTATGGCCTTTATAAGTTTTTCTCGGATTGTAAAGACTAAAAAAATATTTCTATTCGATTTATGGTAGGCATTTGCTTGATATTATGTTTCCAAATTCCAAATTTTTATTCTCTCCCTTAAAAAAACTGTTGCACGAAATGCTAAGCTGCATTAGTAGGTTTTAGGATCCGACTTTAGCGATATCCAATCCAATTTTCCCTACGAATTACCTTTATTTTCAATATCCAAAAACTGTATTTTTTAAGATTTTCACTTAACTTCTACAAAAGAGGACACCCAGAAACCATTTCAGATATCCATATAAGTTGGGAATAAAACTAAAATAGTAACACATATATTCTCACTTATTTTTCAGTGGTTTGAAAATATCTTGACTTAAAATAAATATTAAATTATTTTTTCTAAAATTATTACAAAAAATATTAAATTCGTATTTTTTCTGTATTCTACACATTGTCGAATAGTATTCAAACAATTACAATTGTTATATATAAAAATCTACATTGTATTTTCTAATAACAAACAAATACTTATACTTACTTACTTATACATACAGTTACCGTTTTTTAATTCTAAAATATTTAAATCTAAAATTTACAGCACTTACGTTGGGCGCCATCTTCGAGTCTTGGGGGAAACGTGTTTATTATACTTCGACTTTATCCTCGTTGATAATATCCATCACAACAAAATGTTGTGGTTGTTCACTGCAACGTCTGGATGTAGTTGTGGGAGCAGCCCCACCAACTCCTGCCGGATTTGTTGCAGCCAGGACATCAATGCTGCCCACACTGCTGCGACTAACAGCATACGATACACTTCCGCCACTGGTGGTAATTGTTGTATTTCCGCTGCGACCACTTAAACTGGTGCTGGCATATTTGCCAGCGCCATGACCTACACCACTACCACCCCCACCATTACCCCCCGCACCCACTGCAATTTCCGTAATACTGCTACAGTAGCTGGAATGCCGTCTCCGTCGTTGCCAACTTTTGCGAAACGGCATTAACAGAAACCTTTACTAGATGACCGTTTCATTGGTATTGGTGCAGGTGCGTGGTCCATTGACAATGGAGTAGCGCGAATGCGGCTCCACCATACGCCCCAGGAAAATCTCCTTGAATGTTTCACGAAATTGCCTCGACATGCCGCAATAAATGCCAAAATTAATCGGATAGCTTACAACCAAAAAGAAATTGGTGAAAGTAATAAAAATATTGGCTATCTCATAGTCCAGAAAATTATTTGTCAGCGACGAAACAATGTGCATGGCTGTGACCACAGCTATGGGTATTTCGACGATTAGGAACACAGTGACGACGACAATTAACATTAAGGTGGTACAGTTGCTTTCGCGCAGTTTCTTACACTCCTTTTTGCGATTTTCACTTATCAGCAATTTTCTTCGTTCCTGGGCCTTGCGCATTGCCCGAAACAGTAATATGTTGAGAGTGACTAGTATTATACAGGGCAACAAATGGACGAACAGCACCCGAAAGAGAAAGAAGAACGTATAATAGAGATCTTCACCCACAAACTCTTGCACCCAGCGGGCATTGTCGACGTGACACACCTCCACCATTTGGCCGTTCCATTCAATTGTCAGCGCCTGATAGCTGCGATCAAATATTCGCGTACTTTGATGTAGAAAGGCAGCTAATGTTATGTAAATGGTGCAGCGCTTCACGCGCGGCATTGTACACCATGTCCGGGCCATGGGAGCGTGACACACATAAATGTATCTGAAATGAGAGGAAGGAAACAAACGGGCAATTAATAAACTGCGGAAAATGAATTTATACTAATTTAAATAAACAAATAGAAGTAGCATAAAGTTCGTCGATCCAGTAAAAATACTGATCTGGAGCATTTCATAAAAAAATAATTAAAAATTATTTTTATAATTAAACAAAAAAAAAAAAAAAAAAAAAAAAAACACAATTATAGTAACATTTTAAAACCATCTCCATATCTCAATTCCAGGTACAAAGAGAGAACTCAATTTCAAATTTGAGCATTCCAGCCCCATTCCTTTCGCCTAATGCCAAATTTAATACCGTTTATCCGTACAATTATAGTACACATTTCCGAAATCACCACCATATCCTAACAACAGGCACAAACAGTGACATACACAAAAAATTTCAGGATTTCAGCACTATTCCTCCACCGAATGCCAACATTTAGTTCCAATTTGTACTTTTCGTATAATTGTAGTACACATTTTCAAAATCACATTCATGCCTCAATTCGGGATACAAACTGAGACCTTAATATCACATTTGAGGATTTTAGTCCTATCCCTTTGCTCAATACAACATTTAGTACGATTTACTACTTTTCGTACAAATATAAGACGTATCTTCAAACCTGTAATCCAAATATTAAATTTCAGAATTTTATCTCTATCCCTTCACCCAGTAACAAATTTAGTACCCATAGTACTTTCTAAACAATTATAGTACACTTTTCCAAAAATATAACCATAACCTAACCACAGACACTAACAGTGACATCCATATCAAATTTGAGGATACCAGTTGTACTATTTAGTACTTTTCGTACAAATATTGGCCGTATTTTCATACCACCGTCTTATACACAAAACTTTTTTTCTCTGTCCCTTCGCCCAATACCAAATTGGGTACTTCTTAGTACTTTTCGTACAATTATTGTACACATTATTGAAACCACTTCCAAGTGTCCATTCTACACATTAATGGCGAACTTAATATAAAGTTTCAAATTTCAATCGCTATCTGTTCACCCAATACAAAATTATACCTAAAAATAGTTCTATTTAGTACTTTTCGTGCACTTGTAGTACATTTCTCAAATATATAAAACTTAGTTTCGAACCTTGATTCGCATAGTAAAATTTTTGGCTCTATTCATTCATGTAATATCAAATTGTACCATTTTAGAAGTTTGGTACCACTTTAGACATTTTCAAATCTTAATGATGGAATTTCCAAAAACTCTTTGGTACACCTATAACACTTAATTTCAGAATTCTTTTTCATTCCATTGGTCCAATACAAAGTATTACATTTTCAGTACTTTTCGTACCATTTTAGTATGAATTTCCAAAAATCCCCAAAAAACCCTGCAAGCGTGTGTCAGTCATTCATTTCACTACTCTTTGTGGGGGGAGGTACTAGATGGCGTGGGCCCATATCCATCATCTTCATAGCAGATGTTGCGAAATTTGAAGATAATCGTTTTTTATGATTGTTTTGGTTATTCAAAATTTTAATCCCTTTGTGAGGGAGGTACAAGTCCGATATATTCCATATTCACGCCAGATCTTACGTTGAAAGAAATATTGGAGTGTGCCGAGTTTGAAAAGAATCAGATGTTAATTTCGCGTTTTATGAGCTTCATGGTCATTCGAAATGTTGATCAGTTGTGGAAAAGGTGCCAGAGATGGTGGTCTTATCTGTCCGTTCTGCATGCCAGCTCTTGTGTTGGTAAAAAATATTGAATTATAATTATTCCAAATTTTGACCCTTTGAGGGGGAAGTACTAGATGGAGTGGGCCGATATTGTTGCATTTTCGCACCTGACCTAGCACTGATACAAATATTGGAACAACATTAGATGATCCTTTCTCCTTCTATGAAGTAAAATTTTTACTTTAAAAATGTTCACGTTTTGTGGGGGAGGTACCGGAAGTATGGACTGATATTGGCCACCTCCGTACTCCATCTAAGTTTGATAGTAATATTAAGTTGTACCAAGTTTGGACCACATCGGATAATATCTTCAAGAGTTATCGTGCCCTTTAGGTAGTCAGATAGACGGACGGTGAACTACAAATGTCCTAAAAACGGATTTAGTCCAAAGAGACCCAGGGTCTAAAACCATTATTTCGATGAGGCACGTTTTGGTCATAAGAAATGATATATACTCTGTTGCCATATGACTGACAGTATAAAATCTACTTTTAAATGCCTCCAAAATTCTTAGAATATAAATAAATAAAATAATTTTAATTGGCTTTAAAATTGTTAAAAAAAAGACTCTAAAATTTCAAAAAAGAAATCCAATTTAAACGCCTTTAAAATTCTTAGAAAATTTCTAAAATTAATAAAAAAAAACACTTTTAAATGCCTCTACAATTCTTAGAAAACCTCTAAATTTCTTTAAAAAATACACCTTTAAATGCATCTAAAATTTCTAGAAAATCTCTAAAATTCTTAAAAAAATGCCCTTAAATTCTTAGAAAACCTCTAAAATTCTTAAACAATCCGCGTTTGAATGCCTCTAAAATTCCTAGAAAATATCTAAAATTCTTAAAAAAAAACACGTTTGAATGCCTTTAAAATTCCAAAAAAAATATCTAAAATTCTTAAAAAATCCACGTTTGAATGCCTCTAAAATTCTTAAAAACCCACTTTTGAATGCCTCTAAAATTCTTAAAAACCCACTTTTGAATGCCTCTAAAATTCCTAGAAAATCTCTAAAATTCTTCCAAAAAAAATGCCCTTAAATTCCTAGAAAAATCCACGTTTAAATGCCTCTAAAATTCTAAAATTCTTAGAAAATCTCTAAAATTCTTTAAAAAAAAATCCACGTTGAATGCCCCTAAAATTCCAAGAAAATATCTAAAATTCTTAAAAAATTCACGTTTGAATGGCTCTAAAATTCTTAAAAATTCACTTTTGAATGCCTCTAAAATTCCTAGAAAATCTCAAAAATTTTTAAAATAATCCACGTTTGAATTCCTAGAAAATCTGTAAGATTCATAAAAAATCCCCATTTGAATGCTTCTAAAATACATAGAAAATCTCTGAAATTCTAAAAAAATCCACGTTTGAATGTCACTAAAATTCTAAGAAAATCTCTAAAATTCTTTAAAATTCACCTTTAAATGCCTCTAAAATTCTTTAAAAATGTCTAAAATTCTTAAAAAAAATTCTCTGAACAGACTCCATAAATCTTTAAAAATCCTCCCTAGTTTATTAAACTCTACTGACTAAGGTCCAGTAAAATGTGCCGAGTATTCAAAATATAAATTAACCAAATACAGATAATACTTCCTAGGGCACACGCACACATACATATATGTGCCATGGCCTATTAACGAATGGACAGGAACACGTAGACCTTTTAACAGTGCCCATGCCCTCTGAAGCATTTACATCCATGTATTCCCTCAGGTTGCTGTTTTTCTGCTGAGTAGTCCAGTTTTTGGTGTACGTGTTGAAATCATTGATTCAGGCCAGCGGGCCTGTAACGATGAAGTTAATATGATTATGAAAATCTAACGGGGGTGGGGGAGGTATAAAAAAAAGTAAGGAACATAAAAGCTACTTGCTACCGCTTCTACTGGTGATGGTAATGTATTGAAACAGCTCGAGTTGACCTAATTTATTTCGATTTCGTAGTCGATGGGCGAACGATGCATATTGAAATTGGCCTCTTATAATGCTATTATTGATATTGAATAAGAAATCAAAATCAATTTGCCACCGAACAGGAACACAAACGCACGACATGATGGCCAGAATATATGTATGTGTGAGTGCGTGGTTTTATCTTAAGTAGTGTTTGTGCGTGTGGTCTCCGAAAAGGTCTTCAAAGTTGCCACAAATGATTATGGAAATAATAAGATTTTTTTTGTGTCCATCTTTTATTCTGCTCCACTTCTAGGACCTCACTTATAAGTTAATAAAGAATGACAATTTTTATTTTGAGTGAGAAATCATCATTTAAGATTTTCTTTTATACATTTTTTGGCAACAAATAACGGAAGAGACATGTCACGTATTGTTTTTTTTTTCTTTTTTTTTTTTTTTGCCGTGACAAGAGTTTCCCTTGAATACGGAACAAAGAGAACATTTTTTGTTTGTCAACGATGTAATGGAAATGTTTGCTAAAAGCAATAATATATTACGTGTCAGGGAAATGAGAGTGCCCATAATTTGATATCAACTTTAAGTGGGTTTTTGTTAGGCATGACTGTGCCCACACTAAGTGTGAAAACAATTTGCCGTTGGTCGGGTTTAAAAGCTTTTAGGTTATAACTGGCTACATGTTCAAAATATCTCTTAAAAATGTTTTACTTTCTTCATTTCGATTTTTTATAGAGAATATCTGAAATCGGATATTATCTTTACAGGGGACATGAAAATGCGGACTACTTTTTTTGGAATTGAGGCACACAGAAAGAACTTTAACTATCAAATTTTGGCAACATTTTAAGAAAATTTAGTTTAAACCAGTATAGAAAGCCTTAAAGTCGGGCGGGGCCGACTTTATGATACCCTACACCACTTTGCTAATTTAGTAGAGCTCCCCATAACAATTAAAAGTTTTTATGGGAGAATTCAATCATACACGCTATGATTATAATAATATTTCAAAGTTCAAAGGACTAAATATGCCGAAGCATTTGTATCTTTTAAATTCGGACTTGTATTGCCCATTTGGTGAAAAATTAATATGAAGTCGGATAAATATATATATGGGAGCTATATCCAAATCTGAACCGATTTCGATAAAATTTTGCTAAGAAATTTTTTAGCTGTATTTGATATATTTTCCTGAATATCGTTGTTACGGAGTGCATATTACGGCTGTGGGTAACAAATATAACAAATCGGATGAACAATATATATGGGAGCTATAGCTATATCTGAACCGATCTTCACCAAATTTGACATACTAGCTTCTAGACTCAATTCGGTCGTAAGTGCCAAATTTCATCCTATTTGGGCAAATATTAGACGGTTGGTGC